CCGCCTGCGCGCTCTTATAGCGGGGAGCGCGCCGCGCCGCCTTCCCATTGGCCGCGGGGACCGGGCTGCGCCGCCGATTGGCCGCCCCGCGCTCCAGGTGACCCCGCGCAGAGGGTCGGTCCCCGCGTGGTCCAGCTCCGCTCCGCCCGCCCGCGGAGATTCGGTCCTTGCCCGGCCTCTTCGCTTCCCCCGCATGCTTCCCTCCGCCCTCAGTCGTTTCCCAGGCTGCGCGAGAGAACCACAGCCACCTGCGCCGCAGCCCACTCGCCACAGCAATGATGACTCTCGCCGCTCAGGAAACGCGCGCCACTCAGCGTGTCAGAGCGCCTTCGATCACAGGGTCTAGCAGGTCCTCACCCCCAATTTACAGGAGAGAATCCGGGGATCGCATTTGAGAGCCAGTTCTAAACCCAAGCCTCTCAGTGGGGAACACAAGGCGCTGTGTATTTGATCCCAGGCCACCGCGCAGAGTGGAAGAGGAGGATCAAAGTGTTGAATCATTGTCAGGACGACTGCGGTTGAACTCTGCTGTGGTTGTGTGAGAGAACGTTCTTGGGAAATGCACACTGAAGTAGATGCAAAGGCACTGGATGTCTGCGACTGATTCAAGTGGTTCAGAAGCAGGGGTACGCATAGATAAATAAGATCTCACTCGGTAAAGCCCGGGGCTACGATGTTAACACTCGGTGAGTCTGTGAAAGTATGCGGATGTTTGTTTAGCTACGTTTACGCTACTTTTAGCTACGTTTATGCGACCCCGGTCTAAGGCATCTTCGGGTCCACTGGAATCTTTGCAAAAAGAAATGTCCTGTGTTTGGGAGGAGGGAAGGGAACTAGGTTATAAAGATAGCAGGGACCACAGAGAACTACCCTGTGCAACCCGAAGGCTTTGCGCAGCTAGTTTTTTTTTCTCATATTTTTGGACTTCTATTCCTTTAAAAAATTTTTTTAAGATGATCATTGTTTTGAAATAGCTGTAGATTCACAGGAACTTGCAAAAATAGTATCTCCAGCGTCCCCCACAATGGGACTTAATCTTAGGTAACTGTAGGGCAAGATTTTTAAAAAGAAAAATGGACAGTTAATTGTTAACTAGATCACAGATTTTCTTTTGTTTTCATCGTTTAAAACCTACAGCGCATGTGTGTATGTGTGTGTGTATCTCTGTGTAATTGTACCACAGGTATAGATTCTCGTGACCATCACAAACCAAACACAGAATTATTCTGTCACCACAAAACAATTCCGTGGTTCTCTCTCTTTGTCTCTGAACACTCAGCCTTCCACGCCCATCCTGACCCTGATGACCTCTCACCCATGCCCCAGGCCAACACTTTCACATTCAGAGCCGGTGACAGAAAGGGACTCACACACCCTGCAATCTGCAGCATTTTGGAATTGGCTTTTTAAACTAAACTTCATACTTCTGAGGTCCAGTCAGACTACTGCATATATTTGTAATTCATCCTTTTTTACTGCTGACTAGTATTCCACCATGTGGATCTACAGTTTGTTCAGCTCTGATCTCTTTGCAGGACACTGGAGTTGTTCACAGCTTCTTGCTAGGAGGGTGGCGCTATTGGGAGCAATGATGGGAGGTTCTTAGGTCATTGAGGGCGAGTTGCTAAAAAGAGTGTGGGGTCCTGGTGCTCTCTCTCACTTTCTCTACTTGCTGGCCCAGGAGGTGAGCTCTCTCTGTGACACCTGCTTCTGTCATGCTGTGTGTCCGTCTCTGCAGCCCAAACCAGTGAGGCCAGCTCACCTTAGACCTGCACCTCCAGAACCAAAAACCAAGCTTCACCTCTCTTTGCTTCATAAATAGCCTGTTCTGGTATGTGGCTATAGGGACAGAAAGCTGACTAATACAACAAGATTTATTTTTCTGTGGTAAACATCCAGGACTGCAATTCCTGGATCATATGGTAACTACATGTTTAGTGTTGTAAAAAACTGCTCAAGTATTTTCTAGCGAGGTTGTACCATTTTACATTTCCATGAGCAGTGTATCAGGCTGTCAATTTCTCCACATCCTCATCAGCACTTGGTATTATCATTATTTTTACTTTAGACATTAATGGATGTTTAGGGCTATCTTAATGTGGCTTTCCTTTTTAATTTGCATTTGAAAAATGGTTAATGATGTTGAGTATCTTTTCATGCACCTATTTGCCAACCACAACTCCTCTCTGGTGAAATATCTGTCCGAGTTTTTAGCCTATGTTTTATTTAGATTTTCTGGGTTTTACTATTGTGTTCTGATAGTTCTTTATAATTCTACGTATGAATCTTTGTTGGTTTTGCGGTTTGCAAAATTTGCCTCAATTTGTAGCTGTGTTTTCATTGTTTTCCTGGGACCTTTCACAGCACAACAGTTTTAAACTTTGGTGAAGTTCAGTTTATTAGCTTTTTATGTTACAAATTGTCATTTAGGTGTCTTGCCAGTAACTCTTTGCTTAGCATTCGTACTGAGCATAATCTCTTTTGTTATACTTTGGAAGTTTCATACTTTGCTCTTGAACCTGTGATCCATTCTGTATTATCTTTGTGTATGGTGTGAGGGTTGGGTTGAGGTTGAGGTGGGCTTATTTTCCTTCTTAAAATTTAGAGCAGGTGGCATTTCAAATCAGTGGGGACATTGTAGATGATTTGCTAACTAGTGCTGCCCCTTGAAAATAAAAACTTCTAACAAAATAAACTCCAGATACCTCCAAGATGTAGAACACAGGCAGGCAGAAAAAAATTTAACTACACTCCTCATTAAAGAAATGCAAATTAAAGCCACATTGAGATACCACTTTTGTACCCATCAGACTGGCAAAGGTTAAAGAAAAAGGAAGATGACGTCTAGCATTGGTGGGAAGGTGGAGGAATCACTGCTCATAACAAGTTGCAGGAAGGGGCTGGGGATTTAGCTCAGCGGCAAAGCGCCTGCCTGGCAAGCGCAAGGTCATGAGTTCGGTCCCTGGTACCGGAGAAAAACCAAAAAAAAAAAAAAAAAAAAAAACCAAAAAAAAAACAAGTTGCAGGGAGAGTAAATCAGTTGTGTCTATTTGGATGACAACTTGACAATATCTTTCAATGTTAAAACATCTATTTGGTGCTTAGAGATTTGCCTCAGCACCTCACAAACGCACAATGTACAGCATTCTTCAGCTTGATCAGGGGTTGGTTGCAAAATGTGTTATAGAATGAACTTACTGTGTTAAAAAGTAGCTAGCTCTAAGTTAGCTAGAAATACTTTACATGTTGAGGAGGAGATTATACACACATATTTCCAGGAGAACAGAACCTCTGCTCAGGGAGATGGATAGAGATTGGGAGAAGAAAAGGGTGAGACTGGAACAGGTTACAGTTCCTTGTGCACATCTATAATCTTTAAAACTTACAGACCTAGAGTCAGATTGAGCTGGGCCTGGATCCTCCACCTCATGGTGGTGGTGTCAGGTCTGCTCAGGTCTCAGGTCTCCTCTTCTCAGGTCTCAGATTTCCCTTCAGACTAGGAACACAGCACAGTACTTTGCCTCGTCTTGTTTTGCAGCATCTTCCCTCCATCTTTTGCATCTGGCCCATGTTTTGCATTAGGTCCTTTCCTATAGTAGGCTCTAAGCTCCCTGAGAAGGCACTGGGTCCTCCTCTCTGTGCCATCTCTGATGCCTGGCTTGGTTCTTGGCATACAGAAGGTATTTGCTAAAGGTTTTCTAGCTGAATACCAAGTGTTCCTTACTCTGAGGCATCTTGCTGTCTGGTGGAATTATCCACGTGGGACCATTGAGTCCCCAGGCAAATCACAGAGGAAGGCAAGTCATCTTTGTCCCCTGGTTGAAAATGACCAAGGACAACCAGGAAGATACAAAAGGGCTCTAGGAGGGAGATTAATGGCCCCCCCAAGATGTCCAAAATGAAAATATGATCTTTTATAAGCCCAGCTTATAAAAAGGTGAATTATAAACCGGGCATGGTGGCACATGTGACCCTAGCACTTGGGAGGCTGAGGCAGGAGGAGCACTGTGAGTTCGAGGCCAGCCTGGCCTACAAAGTGAGTATAAGGCCACCTTGAGCTACATAATGAGACCTTGTCTCAGAAAGACAAAAAAAAAAAGGTGAATTATATATTTTTGATGTATGATCCCATTCCTTCATTATAACTGTCTTCTGGAATCTATGAATATTGCAGATAGAAAGGCACAGTTAAGGATGACCTCCAGTGGGAAAGATTATTTTGAGTGATCCAGAAGTAGTCACAAGGCAAATGTCCAGGAAAGCTAGAGTGAGAGAGTGAGAGAGATATAGCAATTGGGATGAATTTAGAGAGGATATGAGAAAGTCTCAGCTGGCTGTACCTGGCTTTGAGACTGAGGAGACGCCATGAGCCGAGGACTGCAGGCAGCATTTAGAAGCTAAGTCTCTGTATTAGCCTGCTGAGTCCCTGTTTGGATTTCTGACCTCCAGAATAATAGGGTGATGAATCTGTGTTGGTTAAAGCAACAACCAGCTAATTCTGAGATAATCTGCTACAGTAGCGATAAAAAATTAATGAAGAGGCCTTGTAAAAGTAGCAAAAGTAGCAAGCTGTGGTGACAGATGCTGTAATCCTACTTAGGCTTAGACATGAGGATCACGAATTCAAAGCCAACGTGGGCAATTTACCAAGACTGTGTCTCAAAATGAAAAATAAATAGGGCTGGGCATGTAGCTCAGTGGCAGAAAGTTCCTGG